ATCCCATCCTCCTCCCCCCCACCCTCTGTATTCCTACTTTCACCCAAACATGTGTTGACTACTTGGTACCAGGCATAATGTTGCACACTGTTTATACAAGTAAATAAGATGGAGTCCCTGACTCATAAATCTCATATCAAACGATTACAAGAAGCAGATAGGCAAATAATTAGCAGGAATTCAGTGCAATGAATATAATAATAGAAATTAATACAGAATTCAATGATGGGACAAAAGAGAAAGTAATGAGATCTGATTGGGGGAGTCTCGGGAAAGGCTTCACACAGGAGTAGGTAGCGAATGGTGCTGTTAAAGTAAATTCTGTTTTTTCAAATGGAGATAGATGGAAAGGGTAACCATCCCAGAAAAAGGAAACAGCATGAGAAAGAATCAGCTGAGAAAAAACATTATCCACTCAGAGAAAGGTAAGTAATTTTGTACCATTAGAGCATAGATTATAAAGGATTAACAAGACATAAAGTTAAAGATGCAATACAAAGCAGTTTCAATGTTAGCTAGTAGGCAATAGAGAAACAATAAAAGAATGTAAACATGGAAATAACAGGATCAGCTTCAAAATTCAAACAAATTCTCTTGGAGCAGAGGAGAGGTCAACTGGAAGGAGGTAGAAACTAGAAATAGAAAATCTACTATTGATCACTTTCTTTTTTTTTTTTTTTTGAGTTGGAGTCCCACTGTGTTGCCCAGGCTGGAATGCAGTGGCATGCTCACAGTCACTGCAGCCTTAACCCACTGGGCTCAGGCAATCCTGTGGCCTCCCAAAGTGCTGGAATTACAGGCTTGAGCCACCGTACCCGGCTATGGATCACTTTTAAAAGTCCAAATAACAATTATGAGAACTTGAATAAAGGTGGTAGCAGATGTTTAAGAAGCACAAGTGACAGAATTTACTGATTTAAATGTAGTACATAGAAGAGAAGAAGGCAACAAGAATAACTCCAAGTATTCTGGCCTTGATGATGAGAGAGTAGGGCCATCCCAAGCAACAGAAACCTTGAAAATAGTAAGTTGAAGAAGATTAGTTTAATAAACTTGTTGGCTATCCAGGTGAAACTGACAGTAAAATTCCTTAGTACGCAACTCTTTTCTTTTTGAAGATAACACACTATATCATTCTTCAAATCCCCCAAGTATATACACAATGACAAATGACATATATATAGTAAATTTAGATATATGTTTACCACATAAAGGGAATAGATAACAAAAGGAATCTGTGTGTGAATAAGATTTGGTTCAATAAAAGAAAAAGATACCTGTAAAAGACAAAACTTGGGTGTACTCCTACCTATTCAAAGGTGTAGAGAGAAACCATAAGAATTACCTAATATGAACTATCAACCTAAAAAAGTCAATATTAACACTTTTATAACTGTCAAAGTGTGTCTGTGAGGTTTAATATATATGCGATTAAATAAAAGTTTATCGTGGAAAACTAAGTCCAAAGGTACCTAGCAATAAGACTCAAAAAGCGAAAGGTTCCTGTCTTTATTAACCCAATACTGACCTCTAGTGGATTAAAGAAGTACATACAAATGGACTTTAGTATCAGAAACTAAAAAGTTTAGGCTAATAGATTGGAGGCCTTGGAGGCCTAATATAATTACATGAGGTTTCAATAACAGGGTGCCATAACACAGTGGAAAGAAAGCTTCCCAGAGTAAAATAAATCTTTAAATCTAAGTTCTGCATATTAAGTCTATAACCTTGGGCAAGTTACTTCTCTGTGCAGCTTGCCCAACTATTAAGAAAAAGCATGATTAGTCAAATCTACCTCAAAGCTGTCACAAGAATTAAATGAGATAATACATATGAAATATCTTGAGTTAAAACAAAGAAAAAAAATACTAAAAAATGTACACTCCACCTGTCTTCCCTCTGAAAAAAGGAAGAATCTCACTGTCTACTAAGAAAGCATCTGAAACCTAATAATATTTTGATGCACACTCATTAATGGCACCTAAAATTGCTATAAATCATCATTCAAATTTTGCATTTGTACACGTTTCAAACATTATGTATCTGTACTGGGCACCACTAGTGGATCACTCAAATCCTCCCATTTTCACCTCTTATTCCACTTACCCACAGCAGCGGGTTCTGAACAGGAATGGAAGCATCACATAATGTAACCTGACATCAGCTCCAGCACTTCCAGTATACCTCTTGCTTCCTGCCTTGGGGCTTTTTCTTGTGGAAGCCCACAAGAAATACTTAGCACTCATGAAGTACAATTCAGAAAAAAAGCAACCCTTGCAAGAAAAGCTCACATAAATGCTTCTTCTCTTTGTTCCTTCTATACTCAGTTCCACAAGTCTTCTCAGAAAGTCCCATTTAAAGAACAAGTTCTCCATAGCACTGTACCATTGCACTGTCTTGCCCACCTTCTGTTTTCACTCTTAATTCTTACTCCTGTTCCATAAGATCACATGACTGAACAAACCACTCATATATCAATCCCCCAGGTAAAAATCAAAGCTAAAATAACAACCCAAACCTTGAACAATTATACTACTATAAAAAAGGGATTGGCAGTAGTGGTAAACTGTCATGGGAGGTGGGGGTGGGATTGGAAGTTGAGGGTAACTGCTAGGGGAGGGAGGGGCACACCTCATCAACAAGGGTACCTGCATAATCAACGTTTGTATACCTAACCCTGAATTGTACCCCACATCTTTATAATAAAAAAAGAAAAATAAAATAACAACTCATAAAACAATGACTTTTGTTTTGTGTCTGAGGCCCAAAGGATAACTGCAAATAAATAGCAAAAGCAAGATATGAAGATTCCAGTTACCTCTTCAAGTCTCACCAACCAAAAG